TCTATCGAATGCTTTACTGAAATCTAAATAAATTATATCATATGACTTATCATTATCTACCGCTTCATATACTTCTGAGAAAAAGCAAAGCAAATTTGTGAGACAAGAACGTCCCTGGGTGAACCCGTGCTGAGAAGAATGAATTAAGTTGAATGTTTCAAGGTGGCTTCTGATTTTTGTATATATATATATATATATATATATATATATATATATATATATATATATATATATATATATATATATATATATATATATATATATTGTGATGCTTGCATACAGTTTGGATGTCTTATAGTGATTAAAACACGTGTGAATTAAAGTTTCTTTAATTTAATATGGCGCTTTTTGATAACATAGTACCGTGGGATGGTTTGTGAATCTATGAATAGCTTACAAGAACTTAAATGCTTGGTGGAATTTAGCGTCATAATAAAAAATATATATGTATATGTAGAATATACAATCCACACATAGGTAAGGTAAAACTTTGCAGTTTGTTTGTGAAAATAATTCATATTGAATGTTCAATGTGTACTGAGTCTTTGTTATATACAGTGTATAAAATTATCACTTTTAATTCATATCTCCTCCCACTACTGTAAATTCGGTCAGGCTGTACTAATTTGATTTAAGCAACTTCCTCTATCTCAAGCTGAGCCTTGCGGAACTTGGCCAAGTTCAGGGCGGCGATCTCTTCGGCCTCCTCGATCTGGCGTTTGTAAGTCTTGATCTTCTGCTGCAGCTTGTCGACAAGGTCCTGCATCCTCTCGTGGTTCTTCTTGTCCTCATCGGATTGGAAGGAGAGCTCCTTGATGCGCCTCTCACACTTCCTCAGGTTCTTCTGGGCGTCAGAGTGGCGACGAGCTTCATCGTCTAGCTGTCCCTCTAGTTCGTGAACGCGGGATTCCAACTTGCCCAGAGCCTTCTTGCTAGTCTTCACAGCAAAGCTCTCGCTGTCCTCAAGTTTCACTTGGAGTTCCTTGACAGACACTTCCAGGCCCTTGCGCATCTTCTCCAAGTTCTGGGCGTGATCCTGTTCAGCGCGGAGTTCATCAGCCAGGCGGGCGGCGTCAACCATGGCCTTCTTAGCCTTGTCCTCAGAGTTCTTAGCTTCGTTCAGCATGTCTTCGTAGTCAGCCTGAGGTAAAAATATAGGTTAGAAGTGTTTGGAATCTTTAGTTCAAGCGTCCATCTCACCATACACACACACACACACATATATAATCAACGACCTCACCAGCCAGGAATCGAACCCTCGACCTACTGGGTGGGACTAGGGAACGCTACCGACCAACCCACAAGGACACTAAAAGCAGTCCTAAACTCTGTTATATTTCACACAAAGCCTGTTCATCGAGCTGATGGCGCTGTGAACCTCATTGGGAACCGCCCGTGCCTCGTATGTGGTGTCAGTAGCATTTTACCGAATCCAGCTGGTATGAAACACGAGGTACCATATATATACTTCATTTTTAGTCCATATAACACGCGGACTTTGAACATATAATCAACGACCTCACCAGCCAGGAATCGAACCCTCGACCTAGGACTGCTTTTAGTGTCCTTGTGGGTTGGTCGGTAGCATTCCCTAGTCCCACCCAGTATGTCGAGGGTTCGATTCCTGGCTGGTGAGGTCGTTGATTATATGTTCAAAGTCCGCATGTTATATGGACTAAAAATGAACTACACACACACACACACACACATATATATATATATATATATATATATATATATATATATATATATATATATATATATATATATATATATATATATATATATATATATATATATATATATATATATATATATATATATAATTTAAAATAGCTAAAACGATTTCAAGGAAAAATTAGGGATATACTTATGAATATCATAGTACTGATGACAAGGTATAAAGACAAAACTTACGTGAAGAGTCTGCCATTCGCCTTCAAGCTTCCTCTTTGCGATGGTAATAGTATTGTACTGGGCACTCAGGTTGCTGTATTGCTCATTTGCATCAGTAAGGTCTGATTCAGCTTGACGACGACCACGGTCAGATTGTTCAAGTAGAGTCCTAGATTCTTCCAGCTCACCATGAAGGCTATTAGCACGGCGTTCCGAAATAGCGTATTGTTCGCGGTATTCCGAAGCAAGACGCTGTTCTTCCTCAACCCTCGCCTGCATTTCCTTCCATTCACCTTGAAGTTTCTTATAGCCCTTTTGCAGGTCCGTATAGGCCTTGCTTGAATGATCGAGTGAGATTTCAAGCTCATTTATGTCAGATTCGAGCTTCTTCTTCAGGCGGAGAGCTTCGGCCTTACCCTTGGCTTCTGCCTCAAGGGAACCTTGCATGGATTCGAGAGCACGGATGTGACACTTGCTGTGATAAAAACATAATTATCTGTTATTAGTAAAACGAAATTTACATTTCAAACAAAAACAGTTATTAATAAGAAAAATGAAAACCAAAGTGGAAGTCAACGTCTATTTACTTACCGAATATTGTCAAATTCTTCCTCCTTCTCCTGGATACGCTTGTCTATTTCTTGTTTAACCTGACTGAGCTCAAGTTGTCCTCGAAGCACTTTGTTCTCTTCTTGTTCAAGCGCGGCCTCAGCTTCCTCAAGAGCTGCCTGGAGCTCTTCCTTTTCAATTTCAAGACGCTTAACGTTCTTCTGAAGATCATGATGTGATCGACCACCGTCACCAATCTGGTCCATCAGATCCTTGATCTCATCAGCGAAGTTCTTGTTCTCACGGCGGACCGAGTCAAGATGCTCAAGGTTTTCCTCGTATGCGGCCTTAATGCGGAAATGTTCAGAAGAGTAGTTGCGGCATTCCTTCTGGGATGCATCAAGTTCGGCAGCAAGGTCGTCAACCCTCAGCTTCCATTCATGGATTATTCTGTCGAAGTTCTTTTGCTTTTTCTCAGCAGCCTGAGCCAGGGCTTCAGCACGCTCAATGGAAATCTGAGTTTCGTCGTAGTCCACTGCAAGTTTCTCCTTTGATTTTTCAAGACTTAAGTTCTTAACGTTGAGCTGTTCAATTTGAGCTTCAGCCTCCTCAAGACGGGCAGCAAGCTTTAGTCGTGAAGCTTCTATCTCCTCAGCACGTGCAACACCTTCAGATTCATATTTTGACCGCCACATCTGAGACTCAGCGTGAGCCTTGGTAAACAAACGCTGCATGTCTGCCTTACTTTCAGCTTCTTCATCAAGTTGTTCACGAAGACCATCAATGTCGTGTTCCAAGTTGCGGTATTTGCCAAGAAGAGTTGCACGTTCCTGTGAAATTTTAAAGCTTACTTATACCAGATCTGGCAAATTGTCAATAGATAATTTATATAAAAATTTCTGAAATTGGACGGATTTTGAAGGGAATCAGATATCTTGACGTCCGTGCAGGGTCTGTTTGTGTAACAAGAACACTTAAGTTTTCTTTTGTTGATCAGGAGTTGATGTTATTCAGTAACAGCGTATTAATGACCTCAAAATAATAACTGCATATGTAAGAGATAACCAAGGTTCTGATGTGACTGTGAATAGTTTTGAATTCAATAAGAAAGCAATGAGAGGAAATCTTACATCTGCAAATGCTTGAAGATATGGTAAAATGTAAATTACTTTTAATTGCTGCTAATAGCACACCTACCTTGCTATCCTCATCTGAGACCTTTTTGGATTCCTCAAGCTGCCCATGAAGTGATTGCTTAATTTTGGACAACTGACTGATTTGGTTTTCATACTCCTCCAGCTGGCGCAGAAGATCAGCATTCTCAACTGCAAGCTTTTTCTTTGCGGAATCAAAGTCATTCAAAGTACGGCTGGATTCTTCATATTTGGCATGAAGATCAGTCATCTGATTTTGGAGCTGCTTAATGGTCTTCTCTGCTGCAGCCTGAAAATGGAATTAGTTTCAAGTGAATTTCTGGTAAAAATAATCTCTAATATTTTTAAAACTAAGAACATCATCTTAATATTGTGCTTATTTGAAACGTGTAAACGGGTTTTTGAAAACACTTTCGGGAAAAGGAAGATAGTATAACATTTGTCCCTCAGCCTAACATTACGTGGACTATTTTGTAAGTAAACCTGGGATATTGTATAAAATTTCCCATGTATATATATATATATATATATATATATATATATATATATATATATATATATATATATATATATATATATATATATATATATATATATAATGTGTGTGTTTGTTCTGAGATAAAGAACTATATTCTGTTACCTTATCACGGGTAAGACCGTCCATGGCCGACTTGGCATCATCAGCATCACGCTTCAGATTAGCCTTGTCCTTTTCCATCCTGCAGTTGTTAAAATATATTAAATTACATAAAGAATTACGTGACACATTTGTATTCTAAAAGACAACTAAGCCTTATTTACTTTGATGATCATTTTGTTCATAATGAGATATTATTATTCCGCTGATCCACAACTATGGAGAATAACTAACCTGGCCTTCATCTTGGTAAGATGGTCAACTTGCTCAGACATTTCAGCGACGGCATCATTATGCTTCTTGCGAAGGAGATTGAGGGCAGAATCATGCTGGATGGTGGTTTCCTCGAGGTCACGGCGGAGTTTACCCAGTTCAGCATCACGCTTCTTGTTGAGCTCCACCTGGGCGGCTGTGGCTCCACCAGCCTCATCCAGACGATCCCCGAGTTCGGAAAGTTCGCGTGCAAGGTTAGATTTTCCCTTTTCAGCCTTCGCACGGGCTTGTCTTTCGTGCTCAACCTCTTGTTCCAGTTCCTCAATTCGGGATTGCTGTTCTCTGATCTGCCTCTGAACTTTACTAAACTGACTCTGATCCTCCTCAAGTTTGGCCGCCAGTGAGGCGTAATCCTTATCCTTACGCTGGATAGTACTTTCAAGGTCCTTGAAGTTGCGCTCTAAGTCCGTTACAGATTCTTGGGTTAGCTTTAGATCACCCTCAACCTTCCTCTTGGCCTTCTCAGTATCATTGCGTAGCTTCTTCTCGCGTTCAACGGAGTCCTCAAGCTCATCGAGAGTCTGCTCGAGTTTTGTCTTGATGTTGTGCAGGTGATTACATTTATCCTCAATTCCCTGGAAGTCTTCAGAAGCCTTCTGACCTAGTTCTTGAAGTTGCTTCTTTTCCTTAGTCGCCTTGTTAATGAGGTCTTCCTGGTGGGCAATTTCTTCTGTAACATTGTGAATCTGGTGGTCCCTGGCGGCTTTGTCTTGTTCAGCTTTTGCGAGTGTCAGTTCCATATCTTCAAAATCTCTCTTCATGTTTCCAATTTCTTGCTCAGTCTTTTTCCTCTCTTGGAATAATTCTCCACGGGATTCCTCCTCCTTCTGAAGGCGGGCAGTAATGTCCTAAGAGTAGAAGAGAAATAAAGTAAATTCTACACTAAATAAAATACCAGGTGACATAGTACCTCATTACATTAAATGCATATTCTACATTCTAATTAGAGTATAACAATTAGACAATATTGTTTTAATATTCATTTGCATAGAAAGTCTGCAGTGACATTAACTAAGAATGCTTCTTGAGAATTCGGGTAAGCTTTTTTTTTTTACCTTTTTATTATTATTATTATTATTATTATTATTATATATATATATATATATATATATATATATATATATATATATATATATATATATATATATATATATTTATTTATTTATTTATTTATTTATTTATTTATATATTTATTTATGTATTTATTGATATATTTACTTCCAGCGATTTACTCTAACAATGAACTACTATTATTATGAAATAATTATCACTTTTCTCACGAACCAAAACGTGAGAATCGACTCTCTACCTAAGTACAATGATACAGTTCCACATTTGCATCACATGTCATATAATTATTTTTTTATTTGTGTTATATATATTTGCCTTTTCATACTTACGTTAAACTGGGCTTCCAATTCAATCTTCTGAGCCTGAAGCTTGGCTTGTTTCTCGAGATATTCGGACATGTTACCCTTGCTAGATTCCAGAGTGGACAAAATATTGTTCTTTTCCTCTGTCAGGGTAGCAATCGCAGCTTCCAGGTCTCCACGAAGCTTGAATTCAGCGTCGTAATCTTCCTGAGCTTTAGTGGCCTTTTCTTTGAGAGCAAAGATCACGTCCTCGATACGTGTTACGTGAAGGAGGGGCTTAACCTTCTGCCAAAGGTTGAACCAGACCCAGGACTGCATTGCCTGGAACTTTCTCAAGTTACGTTGAACAACAACAAGGGAAACACGCTGCTCCTGCAGTCTGCCGAATTCCTTGCGGCCAGTGAAACCTCGGATCCAGGACTGCAGCCAGCTAACGATCTTGCCCAAGCGCTCATCACGGATCTCTTCCAGAGTACCCAAGACACCAGCACGGAAGAATACCTGTTGAACATTAAACGGTTTGTTAATCAGAAAATACCTTGAAGTAAGACTTAATGGGCCAGGAAGTTTTTAGTTTGTCTGTAAGACCTTATAGTACAAGTATATTAATTGATAGAATATGTGTTAAATGCAAAAACAAAATGGTTCTGCTTTTTGTTAACATTCTTAGTGACAAGGGGCTAGTGAAAAATTGCACCAGAATATAGATTCCTAATAATAATACACATTAGGATTATCATAATATAAAAGACAAAGAGTTTCATTACCTTAGTGTTACCACAGCGGTAAAGCTCTTCTTCCAAGCCAGCCTTGTCGAAGCAAGCCTTTGCGGCTGCCTTGTTGTCGGCAATCTCTGCCATTTCCTTGGAGGCCAGGATCTTGTAACTACGGAGTATAAAAGTTCTTTGAATGAGTGGCACGTGCAGCCTATATCATAGAACAGTGTTGAGCATCTATCAGGGCCTTAGTAATTGCAAACACATTTTTCTTTAGGTATATAATGGTAATAAACCGAATCTACACTGAGGCACATTTAGAAATTATATATATATATATATATATATATATATATATATATATATATATATATATATATATATATATATATATATATATATATATATATATATATATATATAGTTTGTTTTCAACTCACCGATGTTTGAAATCAGGGTAGACCATCCTGTTGGGGAAACCCTTACGACAGATACGGATACCCTCAAGTACACCGTTACAAGTCAGCTGGTGCATGATCAAGGCGGCCTCAGTCACACCTAAAGAAGAGAGAACAATTATATAGTTTCACATACATGGTCAGTGAAAATCTCCAAACCGTTGGTGTAATCGAGAAAAGGAATCGCAAATATATAAGACATTGCTCTATATGCCTAATTATTCTTACACTAAACAGAAAAGTTGAATTTGAAATAAAGAACATGGAACAACGAAATTAATCTTAAGAAAATTGCGGATGATGCTTTTATCGCCATTTTCAACTTACCAGGAGACTTGGTCTCGTTGGGGACGATACAACGGATGAAGTGAGGGTGAGTAGAGTTGAGGGTCCTCATCAGGTTGTTCAACTGGTCCTGTGGGAGAAGGCATCAAGGACAGTTAAGACACTCTCTAACATCAATGATAACTGACCAGAATCAAGCATCCTAAAGGATGCATTTATAACTGGTAGATTTGTGTGTGAGTTTTCTTCGTTCATTAATTTTAACGAAGATACATGAGTGACAAAATGATTAGTAAGTGTAAATACTGAAAATGTCCACCGTAAGAATTGTTATAAAAATGCAAACTTTGTTATTAAATTTTTTGAAAGAAAACGTTTGTTGGCGATTAAGGTATTCCAAGGCACAGAGGATGGGAGACGCTAAAGTAAAGCAAATGCACATACCCTGTATCCAGAAGACACAGTCTTGAAGGAACCAGATTTTCCACCACGACCACCTGAAAGAAGCAAGTTTATGTGTATTATTTTTTTTGTAGATATTGATCAGAAATGAATTTAATTAATTATTTGTCACTTGTATATAGTTTAGTGCAGTAATGCCCAAAAGATCGGGAAGAAACAGAGAACAAGGAAACAATAGCAATATACATAAGATTAAAAAATAATTATCAAGGTTCTATTATTTAAATAAAAAAAATACGGAGGGGAACTTTTCAGCCATCTTTTAGAAGCTGCAGTTTCAACTCTGCGAAGAAAGAGAAAAGAATTTATTAGCATTTGCTGCGGGACCACCCAGAAGGTATATTAATACCATAATATACAAATGAAGATAAATATGATGCATGATAATTTATGCACGCTTTTTTTTCAGAAGGCGTGAAAATTCTTATTTTTCGAAAGTGTCTATTCAGTTTTTGCATAGAACCATTTAAATCAAAATTACTTTCAATACTTACCACCTTTGCCACCACCAGATTCAACGGGACCAGACTGCCCGGGATGGTCCAAGAAGACTGTGACGATAAGGTTGTTACTGGACTTCTTGAGCTGGTCAACAACAGTGTCGTTGAGAGGATCCTTGTTCTTCTCGAGCCAGCCACTCAGGTTGTAACTGACAGTACCAGCGTAGTGAACAATGGCGAAGTGAGAGTCAGCCTCACCGGGCTTGGCTGGCTTGGGCTTGACGAACACAGGGGACTTGCCAAGGTGGTTGGCGTTCAACTTCTCAGCGAAAGACTTGTCAGTAGCCTTGGGGAACATAGACTCTTCTTCGAGGATAGAGAGCAGACCCATTTTCTGTCGAAATTGCACACATTATGAACTGTGTAGATGGTTTAGATATAAGAAAAAAAACACTGCATTGATACGGCATCCACCTTATCACACTGTCAGTCTTCTGATAAATTACCTTCTCGAAGAGCTCGATGCAGGCCTGCAGATCCATACCGAAGTCCACGAAGACCCAGTTGATGCCTTCCTTCTTGTATTCCTCCTGCTCCAGCACAAACATGTGATGGTTGAAGAACTGTTGCAGCTTTTCGTTACAGAAGTTGATGCAGATCTGCTCGAAGCCGTTGTACTGATGGGAAAAACAGTAACACTCTTACAAACTAAGTCTATAGAGTTTCACTGATAAAAGGACAACATACCCAACGATATGCATAAATAACTTTTTTTTACTATAAATTTATATATGATACTTCATTAAAGCAATAATATTCCTTTCATAAAATTAAAAAAAAAATTAAATTTGTTTTATCTTCATCCACTGGTAAAGCTGTATCAACTGAAATTACTTACGTCGAAAATCTCGAAGCCGGCAATATCGAGCACACCGATGAATGAATGACGCTTTTGACCAGTCTCAAGAGTCTTGTTACAAATCACAACCAGCCACTTGAAGACACGATCGAAGAGACCCTTAGCCAAGGCACCGACAGAGTAATAACACTGGTTCACGTTCATGCCCTTGGCTACGAACTCTGAACCGACCTTGATCTTGGGCTTGGTAATGTTCCTGTACAGGTCATCACCAACAGTGCCCAGCAGCTTGGCGACCTTATCACCAACCTAATAAAGAAGATTAAATGTATTTTTTGAGCAACTGTTTACCAGATTTAAAGCATAGTGATATCATTGCAATATTAGCACTTGAGGGTAAAACAGAAAAGTGTGATTACCTCAGTGCCGTCGGCTTCAGCCTGTTCATCGCGACCCTTCTGTTTAAACTTCATCTCACCCATGTGCATGACAGCGGCTGTGACCTTGTAAACCTCTTCAACGTCTTGTTTTGTGAAGCCAAGAATGTCGAAGGCGTCCTAGTTTAGAACAGGTAAATGTAAGTCAATTGATCACAAAAGCCTCTCAAATTTTACTTGATACATTAAACACCTTTCACTAAGTAAAAAAAATTAAATGATGCACTAGACCTAATACTTTAACAATCTGTACAATCATTGCCGTTTGGTGAGACACATAAAGAATAATAATTTAGAGACCGTCAAAGTATAATTGAATAATGAAATGACCAATCATTCTGCAACAAATAAGGTAATTCAAAGGTTAAAATTAGTGTTCATGTATGAAAAGTTTTCTTAAAACTTATTGGTAACAAATAAAGCGATGATGACGTTCTTGCGTCAGCAAAGATGTCTTATTCTGTATAACAGCGTCAGAAAATAAAACCTGTAGTTATATCGTTGGAACAAAACTCTTAAGTCCGAACTGCCGCCCTTCCCATCTTTAGCGAAGGGGACAGTGACCTGCCACGGAACAACCTGTGGCAGTAGAACACGTCGTCAGTAAGCAAACACAAGATTGGAAACAGAACAAATCACCACTGAAGGTTCGTATATATTCAAATGTAAATAAAGGAATTGGCGAAGTTGTCGTTCGTATCTTCTGTGATACAGTTGTCTATTATGAGAAACGATGATGTGGGGTTACAGAGAATTGACATGCTTTTGTTTTTTACTGTTCTTCTGATTTCCTTTTCAGTTGAGAACAGCGGAAGGGTTCTTTGATAAACTAGGAATAAACTCGGTATTTTGTTGAAATATAAAACAAAAAGAACTACATCAATCTTCTACCCAATCGATATAAGTCTTTCAGCATATCGATTGCAACTTTTGTACACTTTCAGTGAAACACACACCAGTGGTTGGGCCGGATAATACACCGAGTTAAACCACTCACGTGACAGAACTGCATGTCCTCGCCGTCATCAATGGAGGGGACGGTGACCTTGCCCTGAGACACGTAGTGATAATCGTAGATGTCGTCGCTAAGGAAACACGTGGCTGCAGATGGGAATAAAGATGTAGGCAGGGCATCCAAATGAGATTACGGTTTGGTGGGAACTCCAACTCCAAATTTTCCTTCACAAATAGTATCTTCTTATTTGGTATTTTCCTTAATATTATTAAGGTAAAACTTTTGCCATTGTACAAAATATATTCAAACCGTTGTCTTCAGGGACTACTGGAGCTCTCTGCTTAGTCACAAACAAAAGCTAGCTGATTCTTTTCTTAGAATCTATGGGATAACAGGAGCTGCCATACGCAACAGCACCACCTACTTTCCTTGGGCAGCAGAGAAAACAGTAATGTTGCTGAGATAATTTTAGAGTAATTCAAAATATTACTTCCTCTATGACTGAAAGACAAATGACGCTCAATAAAGGGAAAATGTTACATGTTATCATTGAAGATAATGTGTACCTCACCGAGCCTGTAATACTGTGTAGTTTCCTGAGGTAACACTAACCTAAATATTTGACGATACGATTCTTCACAAACTAGCCTTCACATCTTTTGATATGTAAAAGTATGAGAAATTATATTCATTTACTGGTAAAAACTATATTTATTTTGCAAAGAACACCTCCATGTATATAATTTTTAACAATACGTGAATCCATGTAGAGTGTTCCATAATTTCCTGAATTTAATGCTATCAAACAGTGTACCTAGATTTAGAACATATAATATTGAAATATCTGGAGCCAAAGACGCTGTTTAATACCATCGTCTTACAAAAATATAACTACCAAATATTTTGAATCCTATGATATGAAACGGTTTTCTAGAGAGCCATGGTATAGCATATAATCTAGCATATTGTTAGGCAAAGGCAGTGAATATCTTATGTGACGACCAAATGTTTGACAAATAAAATTATTCCACATCGATTGAACATGACAACAGTAGAAACTACGTCCGGTTTCGCACACAATTTAGCACAATGAAGGAATACTTACGCTTAATCGTTTTGATTTGGTCAGCCATCATCTCGTAGAAGATATGGTAGGAACGCTCGGCGGGCTGCTGGGAGATGACACGAGCCTTCTCCAGCAGGTAGACCTCAATATCAGCACCGGACAGCTTGCCATTTTGTTGGAAGTGGATACGGATGAACTTACCCTGTGTAGAGAACGAATGGCATGACCTCACGAAACTTGGGTTAGACACATCAAATGAAAACGAATTTAATACAGAGTTTTGTTTCACAGAAAGTTGCAATAATATTTTCCACGTTATTGTTATGTGGAAGAGAAGATGGTTCAACTCACGAAGCGGGAGGAGTTGTCGTTACGGGTGGTCTTGGCGTTACCGAAGGCCTCCAGTACAGGGTTGGTCTGGATGATCTGGTCCTCAAGGTTCTGAAGTGAGAGAGTTACTTTATTACTGTACAACGCTCCTTTAGGGTGCACTATTGACTGTTAGGAAAATTGAATATTAATGGAGAAACAAAAAAATATTTTTCCACATTATCTTTCCAGTAATGAAGTAAATGTTTTATGACATTCGATTATTCTTTTCATTTCCCTCATTTTCAGCTAAAGAGAAATTGGGAACTGGGAGCAAGACAAAGGAAAACAGCACCCATTTCTACCTGTTTTTCTGCCTCGCCCTTCTTCTTGGTGGTGGCGCCGACGTTGGCGAAGTAGGAGAGTACCTTCTTGGTGTTCTCTGTCTTACCAGCACCAGACTCACCGCTGTGGTAGGAAATAAAGTTATTCCGTTATTTAAAGATAAAAAATATATCAAATGACAAAAATTGAAACAGGAACACTAAATACACAGATATAGTCCATTACAAATTATATTATCATGAGTGTGATAATTGGCCTCATTTATCAAAGTAAATATTATATTAGTTCTACTTTTCGCTTTCCATATACATGTTTTTCTTCTTTATTAAAGTGTTTATGTTCATACAATTATAGGTTCACTTACGTGATAAGCATAGACTGGTTCTCGCCAACTGTAAGGAGAAAGAGCAAATATCTTTAGAGGTGGTGAGTTTATTTCCTATCTGTTGACAATATATTCCCCAAGTTTATATGATCTTTGGTATACTTAAGCCGTGACTGGGTTTTGTATTTGCATTATTTCTTACGACTTGCAAAGAAAACAAGATAAACACTTACGTTGCATCATGTTCATGTAAGCACCGTCGGCGATGGCGAAGAGATGAGGAGGCACTTCATTACGCCTCTTACCCTGGTAGATCTTGACCGTTCGGTTGGTGTAGATGGGGTACCGCTTGTAGGGGTTGATGGCGATACAGAAGAGACCGGAGTAGGTGTAGATGAGCCTGTTGACGTAACGGCTCTTCAAGTTGTACAGGACAGACGCATCGTTAAGGTAGGTCAAGTTAGACATGTCCTCGCATTTCTCGTACTTGGGAGGGTTGACCTGTCCCACGAGGTCCTTCTTCCAGTCCTTTGTCTCACCACCTGCATAAACTGAGATAAGTTCGCCCTTGGTGCCTGTGATCTCACCCTCGACGAAGCCTTCCTTAGGATCAGGGACCCAGCAGGACTTCTTGGCGTCATAAGGCTTGGTGGCATCCTTCATCTTCATCTCCATAGAGATGAACAAGAACTCGGTAGGATCTGGGTCAGGACCCGTGGACTTCTTTACGTGGCCAGGCATGTTAGCGGTGGGTGCCTAAAGTCGTCTGATTCTTAAGCAGATTTATCTCGTTCTGGACGTTCCTGAAATATAGAAACAAAATATTTTCATTGAAAATCAGACTTCAAACACATAATATTTTAAGTTGTCGTCTGCGCTGTTACATATTGCCGAGTATTTTTTATATAGTATATTCAGAAGTCTCTATCAAAACGTATTTAAAGTTGAAAAAAGTAGTTATTCTTCTTCACACCTTTATAGTCATCCTTTCGGATTTAATTTTATTGTTGGTAAATTACATCTTTTTTGAGCATGCTATAACTCAGATATCGAATGTGTTCAGGTAAGTAAAATTTAAAATCTCATATTCCGAAATTATGAATATTTATATTATATGATTCATACCGATGGACACTAACTAAGATTACGATGAAAAAACTTTTTTAGTAAAGAATTTTCTGCAATACTGTACTCATCAAGCCCCACTGACGGCAATATGTAAGTATAAAAACCGAGAGTATTAAAACATTTATTAAGGTATTATAAATAGGCTCCTCAAGAAGTCTATGGAACCACCATGTTCTACAATAGATACTTTACATAATTCTACTAACAATCTTCGGTGGGCTGGAGCTGCATGAAGGTGAGTGTTTGAGAGAGTGGACAAATGTAGCTCCTGTAAACACATCAATAACTTATATGCACATTTTTTCATGACTTGTTGATTTATCCTTACAAGTTCCAAGCCGCCGTACTTTTCCTGTGCTCCATTACAAGCGAGAAATCATATTTTGCTGCAGAGGTAAAAAAAACATTTCAAGTTGTTCAACCAGAATTATGAGAACTTGTAGTGTATGCAACACTTGATGGAGTGACTGGAAAAACACTTCGTAGACCAAGATATTTAGAATCCTAACAATATTTATTTGAAGTACTAATAACTAAAACTAAAAAGCAATGACAGTGACATACTAGTGCTGAAGGCTTTTGTTGCATTTTGATTATTTTATAACCGTTTACAATCAGATACATTTTGCTCTTAGTGTTGACATTTATATTTTCCCTGAAATCGTAGCTCTATCAAGCGTTGATCTTTTCCACATTCAGGAAAATGCATCAAAGATTTTTTCATTAGACGGTCATTGTATACTTGTTTCCTTACATACACTGATGTTTTTCTATAAAAGAAAAAATCCTCAAAAATGTCTCGCCAAATTCTAAGTAGAATTCGTACCTTTTCCACAAAATTTCTTCTATAAATAGTTTTTTTTTTGTTTACTGTTTTTAAGAGTAAATAAATATTTTATTTATTCGACATAAACAGAAAAATAACTATTCTACACAACACCTGTGATGCTCGAGTTTTTCATTTTGATTCAACTTTATTCATATGTTTTCCGTCGCATGAAATAATATATTATCACATCAAAAAGTTTCGGGGTTCTACCACAAGTAAACGCTATGTTCCATGCTGCATATATGAGTCGTTCCTTGAAGTAATTAAGTCACTACAAACTATCACTAAAGTCATCAACCCTCACTTATGTACCTGAAAATAAAGCGAAACTTTGCACAAATGTATTAAAGTTATAGATCCAACTTGTGGGTAACTTACAAGGCGTTCTTCACTGCACCACCACGATCACACCACCGTCGCGATCACACCACCGTCTCGAGCACCCACCGGAGGGCGTCTGAGGGCGACTGGTCCAACAGCTTACCAGGTAGGCACGAGAGGTGTAATACAAACTGGTAAGTTAAGAATAGCACCACGCCAGGCTCAGTGACCTGCGGGAATTTTCCCTCTTGGCAACCCAAAACTTCGATAACACCGATGAAAAACTTGAGCCAGATTATGCATTACCATGTTTAATGAATTAAATAGCCTTATTTTATTAACTTTTTACTCATGGAATTTACAGAGATCTAAACTGTCTATGGGTTCTTTAAAATTTTCGGATCTTTTTCAGCGCTCGTGTTCCTCTGTCTTCCTCCCAGTGCTGCTCCTATATTTGGGAAGGTACGTCCGCAGTCCTTGTTCGCTCTTCTTAACAAAATCCAATCTTAGGTTTTCAGCTTAGCTTTTCGTACTCAGTTCTTGCCTCTAACCCTTCCATGGTAATTGTCCATTATCCTCACTCCTTTAATTGTCCTGTTCCTCCACGTCCAGTTACTGTAGTGATAGCCATCATCCTAAAAACATCTGCGACCCCAGATATTCTTCTCACTACCTCTCTGTCTGTCAAATTAGTATTATATTGATCAGACGCCACACTATACGAGATCGTCCTCGCCTCAACAGTACTCATCACACCAACATAAAACTGATGAGAGGACACAACTGGATTATTTTCCTTTTTTATACCATACACAATCTTTTGTAGGAAAAATATTCATTCTTTATCATGACTATGATTGCCAGTAATATGTATGGTAACTTTCTCCTGTTTGGAAATTGCAGCGTGTGCCAGTGATTATATATATCAAACCCCCAATTCTCCGTGAACGATACTTATTTTTTCTCTGATGTAAAGGGTCTCCTAGACACAACCAACCAGGGGCGCTACCAGTCAATGCCTCTCTCTCTCTCTCTCTCTTTCTCTATCTATATATATATATATATATATATATATATATATATATATATATATATATATATATATATATATATATATATATATATATATATATATATATATACACTGATAACCACAAGGAAACAAGAAAACACGAAGTTCCCAAGCGCTTTCGTGTAATTCACATCTTCAGGGGTGAGTACAGACTAAGGAGTAATACTTGACAAGGCTAATATATACAGTAGAGGAGAGTCCCCTAGGGACTTGATCTCGTTCTCCTCTACTGTATATATTAGCCTTGGCAAGTATTACTCCTTAGTCTGTACTCTCCCCTGAAAATGTGAATTACACGAAAGCTCTTGGGAACTTCGTGTTTTCTTGTGGTTATGAGCATATATATATATATATATATATATATATATATATATATATATATATATATATATATATATATATATATATATATATATATATATATATATATATATATATATATATACATATATATATTAGGGTGGTCCAAAACTATATGGTAAAAAATATAAGTAGTAATATATTGCCTCCACAAGCCTTAAAATTGTCCATTTGGTTCATAGATAAGGTCTGTAAAATTTTATCCATATTCATTAACATTTAGAGGTCAATCCATTTTGCATATTATACTTGTAGTGTAGGACTGAATTTTCTTGTCCGCATGATACAGTCTTAATATACACAACACATTATATTGGGTATATTTCAATGTATATAGCCTAGTTGCCTATTTGGAAAGGGCAAAGAGTCAAGTATTGAGTCATAGGGACTGACAATGACAGGTTGAAACAGGAAACACAGACAAGGGTTACCATTAATCAGATGAAGTTACTTATTTCATTTATATCTCATCAGTTCTACAATTATTTCATTATCAATCTAAATAGTATATTATGCTGAATAAAGACAATGTGTTTATAATGTGTTTATCTAGCCCCGAAAAATCCTTATTACGTACTAAATGGAAAAAAAGAGGACATTGGATTGACCTCTAAATATGCTTTAAATGATCCAATTTTTTTCTGGGATGCATTTTGTACCTAATGGACAAAAATAAACCTTGTGGAGAAAACGTATACAAATATGTGATATTTTGGACCACCCTAATATATATATATATATATATATATATATATATATATATATATATATATATATATATATATATATATATATATATATATATATATATATATATATATATATATATATATATATATATATATATATATATATATATATATATATATATATATATATATATATATATATATACAAGTAAATCACTGTAGGTGCGCGTTATCCAAGTATATGCTGATAACCACAAGGAAAGAAGAAAACACGAAGTTCCCAAGCGCTTTCGTGTAATTCACATCTTCAGGGGTGAGTACAGAGCTAAGGCGTAATACTTGACAAGGCTAATATATACAGTAGAGGAGAGTGAGATCAAGTCCGTAGGGGACAACAGGTGTCCACAATATTCCGGTAAATAGGAATAATTGTTGATTACTGATAACTTCTATGTATTTCTCTTCTTCGGAATCTTCTAACTGGCCATTAGCAATTATACAGATCATCAAAATACATTTAAATGAATAGCTTCAAACAAAATTAACCTTACCTAGCCTACTTATATATAATTTGGCTATCAGTATTTGGTATTATTGTGAGCATCTATAATTCACTCAGGGCCATTGTAAACACATACGATTCACTTACGGCCAATGTTAGCATGTGTCACTTTGTGTCATTGTATGCAGTATTAATTCACTTGGGATCATCGTGACTACCTGTCACTCACATTGGGGTATAATATGCACGTGTGAGTCCAAATGAGTACCTAGGGTAATTATGAGCCTTATTGATGACTTGGGTTCTATAAGCTCCTGGTATCGCTAACCGTAACTGTGATTCACTCGGAGTCACTCGAAGCACTTGTGAGGTGCCTGGCACCAAGTTTCTTGTCACCATTATGAACACCTGTCTGACATTTGGGGTCAGTCTGAGACACCTGGTGTTGTTATAAAAGGTTCTGTGTGGCACCTGGGGCCCTTATGAGAACGAGGCTAGTTATGGGCAGTAATTCCCAATGAGGTCTTAGACTGGTATTGATCTACATTGGGAACACATTATTTGATTAAAATCATCTTAAACTTTCTTGAGACATGAAACTGCAACTGTACTAACCTAGAAAAAGCACCTGAAGATCTTAAGTTATTGAAGCACTGTAATACTTTGGTAACACCAACACATCCACCCTCCCGCCGTCACCCCACCTGGATGGACGTCCGGTAGGATCATATCACACCCAACATATAATGAAAGAATATAAATAGTTCCAGGTTATTAATAATCTTATCTGAACTCTTGATTCCAGTTTAATTAATTACAGTTACATACAGTTCATACTAACCTGATGTGAGATGAAATTTACATACGATTATAATTATCATGTGTGTTCTCATGGTTTACTCGATTTGACATGCATTTTTTATCCTGGGATAAAACTTAGTGGTATGACAGGATCAGAAGCAATAATTACTGTAGATGATATAGTTCAAAATATGAGATGAGTTGACAATATAAACAGCTGACTTGGGGATAACTTTCAAAGGAAATTAATACAATAGTTTGACGGCATAGGTTAAAATGCTATAGCACTAGCAAACACACACATACAGAAGCTCAATAGCACGTATAACTATATGCCAGAAGAAACACACACACACACACACACACACACACACACACACACACACACACACACACTGGACAATCATTTCTCCACTGTCAAACTTCACTTTAGTTTAATTTTGTATTCATTAACGTTCAACCAGTAAGACAGTCATCAGTAAAGTTACAGAATATTCTTTGGCGTGATGAGCTGCGCTTTGGTATATATCGGAATTGACACACAGAGGAAGACATCTCCTTAAGCCGCTTAAAGGGACGGGTAGGTAGAGTATTTGGTTCTGTTGACGATCATAGGTTATCCTTGGGGAGTCCTGTAGATCTGATACGGCTACAGTACACTTATCACATAGAGACCATAGAGGCATATAAGTCCGGACAAGAAAGGAAAAAAAAAGAAAGGTACCGAGAGATTGAATAGAGTAGGGGCGAGGCGGTGTATAATTAATGAACTTGCTACGTATTATGCACATACACTTGCGTACAAACACACTCATACACAAACACTCGCACACAGACATACACCTTGGTAAACAAACACAACACAAAAAACACAATAAAAAACAAACACGTTCAAATATAAATACATACATAATTAATCACATCCGCACACACACACACACACACATATATATATATATATATATATATATATATATATATATATATATATATATATATATATATATATATATATATATATATATATATATATATATATATATGCTGATAACCACAAGGAAAAAGAAACCACGAAGTTCCCAAGCGCTTTCTTGTAATTCACATCTTCAGGGGTGAGTACAGTCTGTACTCACCCCTGAAGATGTGAATTACACGAAAGCGCTTGGGAACTTCGTGTTTTCTTCTTTCCTTGTGGTTATCAGCATATACCTAGATCACGCGCACCTACAGTGATTTACTTATATATATATATATATATATATATATATATATATATATATATATATATATATATATATATATATATATATATATATATATATATATATATATATATATATATTTATTTATTTATTTATTTATACACACACACAAACATACACACTTACACTCGCACACAAACACAGATACACAACTCTTATAAAAACATGCACATTCAACATTCAGACAAAACCGCAAACACTCATTCCCGCACAGATATAAACACACACACACACACACACACACACACACACACACACACACCTGCATACACACACACACCTGCATACACACACATACACCCCTGCACACACATACACTCGCATACATACATAAAACACACCTACACAGATACACACACACACACACACACACACTTCCATATTGAAGGTGTGACTGACTTACACAAGAGACCTGGCCTGCATGCAGCCTTGCCAGCTATCCCAGCTCCTGTGGGATTTCCCCCTGACTCTGCCCC